CACTAGGGCAAACTGGGCCGCAGTGGCTGGGTCCCAGGCGGTGTGGTAGACCTCACAGTCCCATTTGACGGACGGGCCCGTGAGAGTCTTGGCGAGCTGGGTCAGCGTGGCGTGGCGTGACGCAATGCCAGTGATGCGGTAGCGCGTCTTGGCGAGGGTGGCCTCGCAGCCGCGGATGCTGACAGCAGCGGCCTTGGCGACGTCAGACCCCCGCGGAACACGGATCCCCAGCAGGCCTGACTTGCCGTGCCTGACGACTCCCAGGGCCTTGAGCTCCACCGACTTCTGGAACGCGTCTGCCATCGTGATGGGCTGGTCCTCAGGGAACCACACGGTCTGATACTTGTCGGCGGTGGGCTCGTCTGCACCTACGTTGCTGAGGTCGTAGGTGGCACCGAGTTGCCCTGATCCCGCCAGGACCTTGTCGACCGCTTGGAGACTGACGCCGAAGGTGGCAGCCAGGGACCTCTTTCCGACGCCCGATCCAAACCTGCCTAGGCTTTTGCAGGGTTCGAGGATGGTGACGGCTTTAAAGTTGCCGTGGAAGAGGGCCTTGAAGGTGTCCTGGAGCTGGCCATCGAGCTCCTGGCGGCGAGCGTCTTTCTTGGACTCCTTGTGCTTTTGGCGCGCCTTGTCCTGTGGAGCGGAGTCGCCTCGAAAAGGGCCCTTGGCGCGTGGACCACCGTTCACGGGGGCACCTCCCGAGAACTGGTCCTCGAAGGCCTGGTGCATGGAGGGGACTGTGGCAATGGCCTCGGTCTCGTGTATGGTCGCCCGAATCCAGCAGACGTGGTCGGCGGGGTCGATGGTGGCGACGGCTACCTTTTCCGTGCAGGCGACCTCCTTGGTGCCCAGCTGGTACACGATCACGGGGACGTGCGTGTGGACCACTTTGGGCGCCTTGGGGTGGCGCTTCAGGACGGGGACGGCGAGCTCGGTACCGACGTAGTTGTCGTTTTTCGGGCCCATGACAGCAATCGCGAGCTGGCCCGTGGCTCGCTTGCCCTGCCCGAGGTGGTGTTGCAGCAGCCATTCGCCACTCTCGGAGTCGTGGAGGCTGATGCTGGGCTTGTACGTCTTGCCGTCGTCAGGCGAGGTGGGTTCGGCAAGAACAGGGACCTTCCAAAAGGCAGGGTCCAAGGCGATGAATTGGGTGTCCGCAGCCTGAAGACGTGCGGAGCCCGATGGTGGGTGCGATGTGTCACCGCCAGTGCGCTTAGGCTTGCTGCGCTGGTAGTGGTCGAGCGTGTAGCTGATCTGGTTGGCGGCGCACATGCGGATAAGGGCGCTGCCAAGCTTCTTCGTGTTGGACTTGTGCATGTCGTACTTTGCCTGGAGCTCGTCCGCGTTCAGTTCGGCTAGCCCGTTATAGGCGGCCGTGGGGCGGTCAGACCCCGCTTGCCTGAACGCTGCGATGCAGTCCTGCTTGCGTTGAAGGAGGGGCCCTTCAGCAGCAGGGCGCGTGGGACGGGAGCTCGGAGGCTGCATTGAGCGACGGCGCTCCGGCTTCTTGGGGGCCATTGCTGCGGGCACTCTGGTGCGGAGAGGTGACGCGAATCAGTAGGGTCCTGCTGGGACCCCTCCGGTCTCGCGAGGCCTGGGAGTCTGACTCCGAGGCGGGGCGCTTCGCGTCGCGGCTGCGGTCTGAGTGCAGAGCACTCTCGAGCCGAGACTAGAGAGAGAGAGAGAGAGAGAGAGAGAGAGAGAGAGAGAGAGAGAGAGAGAGATAGAGAGAGAGAGAAGAGAAGAGAGAGAGAGAGAGAGCGAGAGAGAGAGAGAGAGAGAGAGAGAGAGGAGAGAGAGAGAGAGAGAGAAGAGAGAGAGAGAGAGAGAGAGAGAGAGAGAGAGAGAGAGAGAGAGAGAGAGAGAGAGAGAGAGAGAGAGAGAGAGAGAGAGAGCGGCCCAGGGGCGGCGCGCGCGTCGATGAACGCATCCGCCTCGAAGATGATATGACGCAGGGACATCGCCGGCTGCAAGGCTGAACCCGCCCACGGGCCTCTCGTCCTAATTCTCTGTCATCTCGAGATCTTTCTTTGCCCCCTGTCGAAATCTGGCCCGGTCCCCGAGCGCGCCGGGTAGTCCGGGAGCGAAGTGCAGACCGGGGCAGGGGCCGCGACTGAGATGGGCCCCGATCTGGGGCGCCCAGTTCACGACTGCCGAGGGGAAAGGAGCCTGGCATGTCCGAGCCAAGAAGCGCCCCAGGTTCCGGGGCGGTCGATCCGCGCGAGCCCCCCAAGACGCGACCCCGCATGCGATCGAAGGCAGGAAGAGATGGAGAGGGACTGCTCAAAAGCTGGCGATCGACAGCGGCGCCCGACCCCTCCCGGGCGCCCAGGCAAACGAGGAGCGGGAAGCGCTTCGCGAGGTCGGGGCGCAGGTGGAGCTCCTCGGGCGGGCGGCCCGCGAACGAGACTCGGCGCCCGGAGGGAAGGCGGCGCATCTAGGGGCGGTTTCTGGAAGCCACCAACCAGCGCGACGCCCGCGCCCAGGTTCGCGCGGGCCCCCGTGAACTCCGCGAAATCGGCAAGGGGCGGCGGCGGCGGCCCTGGGAAGTCGGCCAACCCGCAGCCCGGCGCGGCCACTGGAACCGCGGCTTTCGCCGTGGGCCCGACTTGTCCGCCGAACCTGCGTCGCGCGACGCGTGAACCGCGCCTCTCGGGCGCCCTGATCAGCCAGTCGAGGTCGGGCCGCTCTGCGAGGGCCGAGCTGGCGGCCGCGTCGACCAGGGCGCAGCCCATGAGATCGCCCAGAAAAAGATTATGATACATCTCGGCCAACACCATCTCCAGCTCGGCCCCGGTCTCCACCATCGACCAGCCCGCCCCTGATTAGCCTATGGCAGGGGCGTTGAGATCTCGAACGTTGCAATAGAAGGAAGAAGGAAGACGGTTCTGCTCAGGACTGTGATCCTGAACTGGCCTGCTTACCTTGATGCAATCCTCTTTGGATCGGCAAGGATTGCGGCAGTCCTCCTCCCGGCGGCCTCTGCGCCCGCGAGTGGCGCGCCGAGACCGCTCCCTTCATTTCCACTTCAGGCATGCCATTGCTCTTGCTGTCGAAGAAATCTCGGTCAAGACGACGTCCGTTCTTGAGTTCAGTGGATTATGTCCAAGCTCGTCTCTTGTGAGCCTGCGCCATGCGCGCGGAGACGAGGAAAGCCTCGCCCTCGGTCATGTCGCGCTGCTCCAGGGCGAGCGGGAACTGGTCAGCCTCGGACTCGGGGAACTCGGTATCGAAGAGCGCCCGCGGCTTGTCATCGCGCTCGCCCGCAGCCTCGGAGACCTGCTTGCCGCCGCCGTCCTCGAGGTAGTCGCGCGTCGCCTGCGACGACGAGGCCGCGCGGGGGACCGACTTGCCCGACGCGCCGAAGTTGGGGGGGGGGCATCTGATCGAGGCGAAATCCTTTCGGCCTCCGGCCAAGTTGGTTAGGTTGAGACGGCCCTGACGGGAAAGCATCACACCTTTCTCGTAGTAGCGGGCTTTGATACTATCCGTGAGATCTTTTTTTTTTTTGGGGGGGGGGGAGGAGGAGGCGAAGCTGTAGATATCGAAGGTGGCCGGCCGGGTAAACGTCACCACATTCAGGGAGGAGGAGGAGGAGGAGGAGGAGGAGGACGAAGACGAGGCCGAGGGGGAAGCAACGACCACCCAAAAGCGCAGAAACGACAAAGCGGGAGGACAGGAAACGAGAGGGGAGGCGACAGAACGACGAGACAAGACGACAAGAGGCAAAGCGCCAAGAAACGAACCGCGGCTTCGCAGCCCCACCTCAGAGCTCGAACGAAAATGGGATGAAGAGGAGCGCGGACAGCGCCACATTGATCAGGATCGATACCACCACGAAGACGCCAACGCCCAGTGAGCCAGTCAAAGTAATCGTGGAAAGAGCCCCCTGTTGCCAGCAAAGTGCCTTGTCGGGGCGGGTTATCCGCCTGCGCACAGCATGGCCAGTGCATCGACCAGGACTCCGATACGATGAGAAGCTGCACGATTCCAAAGAGGGTCAGGGAAGAAGACAGAGACCAATCGAATCCATAATGCCCAGGCTGAAGAAGCAGCCGAAGATATAATCCAATGTCAAACTACGTGTGGAAGAGATGGTGGCCCCCTACTGGGGCTCGCGACGACCCAGGCCAAGGGCGCGAAGCAGCACAGCTGCGGGGGCGCCCTCGGGCGCCTGCGCCAACCAGCCGGTCGATCCCTCGACCCCGGGGCCGCACACCATCAGCCGATGAACGGAAACTCACCCCTCGCGGGCCCCTACTGGGCCGCGGCCTGCAGCGCCTGCGCCGCCAGGCGATCGCGCAGGAGCTGCGCCACCCGCGCGAGCCCCAGCGCCTGCTGCACCTGGGCGCGGTCGCGGCGGGCCGCTCCCTGTCGGCTCAAGAAGCGGCCTTGCTCCTCGATGAGCTGTTGGATGTCGGTCGGGGACGTGTCGGCGGAAGCCGCCAAGGCCCGCGTGAGCACCAGCGCGTCGAGGTACGCCGGGTCGACCTCCCGAGGGCGAGCGCCGCCCTCCACCTGCTCCGAGCCGGTCGTCTCGGCCGTCTCCTGGGCGCCATCCACCTGCTCCGAGCCGGTCGTCTCGGACGTCTCCTGGGCGCCGGACCGAGGAGCAGACTCTCCCTCGAGAGTAACCTCAACCCCAGCCTCCGCCCCAGCCGCCGCCTCCGCCCCAGCCGCCGAGCCTCCCGCCTCCTCCGCCTCCGCCCCAACCACCGCACCTCCCTCCGGAGCAGCCGCCGCCACCGCCCCTCTCGCCTCCTCCGTAACCGCCCTTCTCACCTCCTCAGCCTCCGCCCCAGCCGCCGCCCCTCCCCCCAGAGCTACCGCCGCCTCAGCCCCAGCCGCCTGCGCCTGAGAGAGCGTGCCCATGGGAAACGCCTCCACCGTGATCAAGCCGAGCGGGACGATCTTGTCCTCCCACCACAAGCCGAGGAGATCGGGCGCCTCCAGCTCTTCGGCGGTCTCCGCTGGGGGCGCCGCCCCCGCCCGAGATACTAGGGGTCCCAGTTCACCTCGCTCTCCGGCACGCTCTCTGACTCCGCCTCCATGGGATCCCAGTCCACCTCGCTCTCCAACGCCGCCTCCAAGGGATTCGGAGGAGCGCTCGACTGGGGCGGACCTGCCCCTTCGGAGGGGACCTGCACCTCGGAGGGGACCGGCGCCTGCTCCAGCAGGACCACGGCGTCGTCCGCATAGGTGAAGATCGCCTTGATCGTCATCTCGTCGCTCGAGTGCTGAATGTGGGGCGCCCCCTGGTTCTGTCTGGCCTTCTCGTCCGTCAGTGGGCGCAGCTCCGCCTGGTGAAGCGTGTCCCTCCCGTCCTTCCGCGGTTGGCGCGGCATCGACATCGCCTCCGCCAGCGCCGTCCGCGTGCACTCGATTTCCTGCTTGGGCCGGACGATCTTGGCCTCGCGGGTCATCAGCACAGCCGCGCTCGTCGTCTTCATCGGCGACGGCGAGAGTGCCGCGGTCTGCCCCAGGGTCGACTTCGGGCGCGACCTCGGGGTCGTGGGCGTCGAGGGCGCAGGTGCTACGCAGGAGTTGACCCGCATCTTCTTGCTGGCCCCGATCGGCGGGGGCGTGCTCCTGGTCTTCCTGATGCGGGCCTGCGTCTCCGCGATCAGCATGCGCAGCAGCGCTTCCCTTTTCTCCGGCTCCATCGGGCGAAGGAGAGCACGAGGGAGTGGCTGGGGCAGCGGGCTCCGCACCGCCGCGGGCAGGGCCAGACCTGGCCAGCCAGCCCACGCCTCGGCCGCCGGGAAGAGGATGGGCGACCTCGGGCGCCGCTCCTCGCCCAGAAGCGCCAGCTTCTCGATCTCCTCGTCCAGGATATGGCGAATGTCTGCCAGCCGCTCCTGGCAGCCAGCGGAGCTGCATTCAGTCTCCCCTGAGGCCGAGGCAGCCGCCGGCATCCGCGCGCCGCGCGGCGGAAGGGGGAGAGGGTCGGAGGAGGAAGGACCCTACGCAGAGGGGGAGCGGAGGGAGGCGCTATCGGGCTACAGCTTGAGCCCAGACAGCTTGAGCCATGATACTATCCGTGAGATCTAACGCCATCGACTCGGTCTGAGCAAGCTGACTGCCCCGCCTGATGACGAAGTCTGCGAGACTTGGATTTTCCTGATGATATAACCGAACAAAACCGACATTTGTCACTGTCGATCTTGATCGCCGGGCCGTTCCCTAGATAACAGCCGAACATGAGAAAACAATAGGTCGACGCCCTCGTACGAATCGAACGATGCTACGATCGTCTTGAATGTGGTCCAGGTGTCGAAAGCATGCTCTCGAGTACGCGCCCGGCCTGGAGCTCTGGCTGGTGAGCTGTCCACCGAGCCCACGCCCCCAAATTGAAAAACATTACTTTTTAGAAGTTTTCCATGCCGCGCCAAACTGGAGGGACAGAGAAGTCACGGTTCACCTTCTGTTCTGTGGTACTGCGGGGCCAACATGTGGAGGACCCCCACCAAGAGGTCGACATCTCGTCTGGCTTACGCCACGGCGACGAGCTTCGCCTGTCGCTGGACTCGTCGCTCGATGGCCAGGTCTTGGTCTGCCAGGACGGGTGTGACCACCATGACGTCGTCCACCCCCACGCATGGGTGACCCACGGCGGCGCGGCCGGAGATGCGGTGGGTTTGGGTTCTTTTTTCTGCTGTGAGTTCCTGTCTCCACGCTGCCAGTACTTTTCGTCCCAGCCGTCGGTCGTCCACTGTTTCTCGGTCAGCTAGGCCATTTCGACTGCCTGGCGACGTCGTTACGCGACATGCAAAAGTTTTTCTGGTGGGTGTCCTGTGGGTTCTGGTTCCCGACGGAAGGACGCTCTGCTGGTAGGCTGGCTGCGCCCTGAGCCTGTCCGTGCTGGCAGTGCCTCGCCAGGAGGAATGATAGGGAACGACCGTCCAACTGATTGCCACGGGCCATGCTCGGTCCACCGTGGACCGGTGCCTCTGGACATCTGTTGTTCCCGAGCTTCGTTGTCTGTCGCCTACTGGTCTGGAAAGACTGCCTCGCCCCGTCGAAGATGCCGACGGGTGTGAGAAGACTGATCGCACACCTGCACGAGGATCCTCATCAACCACGCTCGGCTTACCCTTGCCAACGTCACGAGTCATATAGATGTGTGTAGTCCTCCCCCACTCGGGTACATCTAGTGATTGGGCAGTCCAAGGCACAGCGGCTACTTACAAGACATGTCTGCCACATAGCTGCTGAGAAGCGCACACATTAGGTAGAGTGGGCAAGAAGAGACACGCCGACGATGACGACGACGATGCCGACGACCATCACGGCGGCGGCGGCGGCCTCATTCTTACTTCCTCTTCCTCCTCCTCCTCCTCCTCCTCGTTCTCATTCCAGAGACCGTGGAGCCATTGTCAGTTTGCCGTCCGATGTCACTGGCCACGAGGCTGTCCTCACCGTTGCAGCCCTTAGTTTCGCAACTTGTAGCTGTTGTGAGTCGTCATCATCATCATCATCATCATCATCATCAGCAGCAGCATCATCACCATCATCATCATCATCATCATCATCATCATCATCATCATCATCATCGTCATCACCATTACCACCACCATCATCATCATCACCGCCATCAGCATCATCATCAAAAAGCATCATCATCATCATCATCATCATCATCATCATCGTCGTCATCGTTATCGTCATCGTCATCGTTATCACCATCAGCACCATCACCACCATCATCATCAGCAGCATCATCATTATCATGGTCGCCACCATCATCATTATCGTCATCACCATCCTCAGCATCATTACCATCATCGTTGCCATCAGTATCGGCATCGTCATCGTCATCGTCGTTACCATCATCAGCATCATCATAATTGTCATCACCATCAGCATCATCATCACTATCAGCATCGTCGTCATAATCATCGTCATCACCATCACCATCATCATCATCATCGTCATAATCAGCATCACCATCATCATCACCGTCATGATCATCACCATCACCATCATCATCATCGGAAGAAGGATGAGGAGGAGAAGGAAAAAGAGGAGGAGGATAAAGAGGAGCAGGAGAAATTGGGGAAGGGGGAATAGTGAGGAGGAGGAAACGAGCAGAAAAGGGTAGAACAATGAAAATCAATAACTACCATCATCTGCAGCAACAGCAACAGCATCACCATCATCATCACCACCACCATCACCATCACCATCACCATCATCGTCATCATTATCATCATCATCATCATCATCATCATCATCATCATCATCATCATCATCATCATCATCATAATCATCCTCATCCTCATCCTCATCCTCATCCTCATCCTCATCGTCGTCGTCGTCATCGTCATCGTCATCGTCAGCATCATCGTCGGCATCATAATCATTATTATCATTATCCCCTTCTACCTCTTGTGCATCCGCCTCCACTTGTTGCTGCTACGCATCCTCCTCCTGCTCCCCCTCATCATTATTCCCCGACTCATCCGTAGCTCCTTTGGCTCAAGCGAACCATTGACGACGCTCTCCTCGCGATCCAACTGACAGTCCCCAGCGCCCCCGACGCGACAGGTAGCGATGACCAAAGCAGTTGCCATGGAGCTCACCATCGTCCTTTGAGCGGCCGTGGTACGTAGCGTGATGAGCTCAAAAGGTGACTGCGACTGCGTGCCCACCTGGGATTACGATGCCGATCGCGATGGCGTTATGGAGTCGTACGAGGGCTGCAGCGCCACGGCCGACGTTGACCAGATTTTGTGCTACATGCAGGGCGGTTCCACGTGCAGCCAGGCCATGGATACTTTGGACATGGCCGGTGAGACGCGCAAGTAGCGCGACTGCGGCCGCTGCAACTGCATGCTCACCTGGGATTGCGATGGCAATGCTGATGGCGTGATGGAGTCGTACGAGGGTTGCAGCGCCACGGCCGACTATGGCCAGAGTTGGTGCAACGTGCAGGGCGGTTCAACTTGCAACCAGGCCCTGCGGGACTTCGACGTGGCCGGCGAGACGCGAAAGCAGCGCGAGTGCGGCCGAGGCAGATGCATGACGAAATGGAACTACGATGGCGATGCCGATGCCGTCATGGAGTCGTACGAGAACTGCCGCACCACGGCCGACTATGACCAGATTTTGCGTTACGTGCAGGGCGGATTCAATTGCAACCATGCCCAGGCCAGCGGGGTGGCTGGCGAGACGCGTGAGTGGCGTGAATGCACCCCGTGTCCAGATGTGGTATCAGGTGCTGGAGAGCCGGCCATGTCTGCAGCCATCATCGCGGTCATCCTTGTGACCGTCTGCGCATGAAGGCGGGGCGCAACCCGAAGCCTTACCACTGCACCCGTCTGCCGAGAGCATGCCCCCTGCACGGTGCTCGCTTGAGGCAATGGGCGCCGTGTCCGCTGTGGAAGGTCTTATCTCGGAGGCCTGGAGGTTGGCGCCAGCACCAACCCTGACATCCTCGAGTCGCGGAAAAATCACGACGGGAGGGTTTCGGCAATTTGGGGCCTCGGGGGGCCCTTGCTGGGCCCCGGGGGCCGTCGAGCAACGCTTCAGGATGAGAAGCTGGTCCTGGGAAAGGGTACAGATATTTGGGGAGCCACGCTGCGCAACACTCGCGACGTCGGATGTCTACGAATATCGGCGGTTGCCTTCACCGAGGGAAGATGATCCAAATCTCGGCGATGGTGGTAGTATTGCGGTTTTCTGGTCGGCCAAAAGTTGACCAGTACCAAGTTCTAGGATCATGTTCCCCCAGCGGAGGTAGCCCCCAGAGTTGGTTTTGGTGGCAAGCCCCAATCCTCCAGCTATTGTGCGTATGGAAGCCCCGTCCACGCGTGCCGGGGCGACCCGACCCGACCCCCCCCCTGCTCAGGGGCAACGTCCAGGGGGGACTTGCCCAGGGCGGAGAGCCATCGGCCCCCAATCGCCTATGCCTCGCCGATCGGGGCTTGGCCCCCACCCCGCCCAGGAGCGTGCGGATTCGTTTGTGGGGGCCCATCGCTGACCTAGCGGCGATGCGCCGCCGATCTCAGGGTAATGTTCCACCTCACTCAGCGGGCCCCTCCGCATGTCGCTCCCCGTCGCCCTACCAGTTCTTGGTTCGTGTTCCCACTCTTGGGTCCTTCTTGGGGCCCTTTTGGGCAGTCTTGGGCGCCTCTTGGGCCGTCTTGGAACCCTCTTGGGCCGTCTTGGAGCTCTTCTGGAGGCCTCTTGAGCTGTTTCCGGGATCGGAGGTTGGGGGGTGAGATCGAAGTGGAACGGAGAGCCCCCTACCGGGAAATCGACTGCGGTTTCGTGTTCGTGCGTGCCGTGCGTGCGGGCGAGGCGAAGCTGCGTGGGCGGGCGAGAGGAAAGTCTCCTGTGGCTGACGCGCGGCCGGACCACATGATTCTCCACCGGGGCGCGGGGCCGCGCGGTGTCCCGCCGGTGTCCCGGTGGTGTCCTCTGTGGCTGAGGCGCGGCCGCACCAAATGATTCTCCACCGGGGCGCGGGGCCGCGCGGTGTCCCGCCGGTGTCCCGGTGGTGTCCCGTCGGTGTCCCGTCGGTGTCCCGATGATGATGTTGATGATGATTATGATGATGATGATGGTGATGATGATGATGATGATGATGATGATGTTGATGATGGCGATGATGATGATGATGATGATGATGATGATTGATGATGATGATGATGATGACGACGTCGATTGTGAGATCGATTGTGATCGGAGGTTGGGGGGTGAGATCGAAGTGGAACGGAGAGCCCCCCTACCGGGAAATCGATTTCGGTTTCGTGTTCGTGCGTGCCGTGCGTGCGGGCGAGGCCCCGTGCACCCACCAGTACAGGCTAGGCTTTGCCAGCCGCTCTCTCCGAGCGCGCCCCGTTCCTTCGGGCGGCCGCGCGGGCTCGCCGCCGCGGCTGGAAGCGAATCGAAAAACTGGGGCGTCTGGGCCCGTGGAGTTCGGCCGTCTACATAAAAAGGGATACGCCGACAGGACGCCGGCGCGGGCCCCTGGGAGGGGTTCCGGTTCCGTTTTGAGGTTGGCGCCGAGGTTCGGTCGAGGTTTCCTGGCCTTCGGAGGCCCTGCTCGCCGCCGCGGCTGGAAGCGAATCGAAAAACTGGTGCGTCTCGGCCCCTGGAGTTGGGCCGTCGACATAAAAAGGGATACGCCGGCCGACAGGATGCCGGCGCGGGCCCCTGGAGTCGTCGTTCGCCGTCGCTGTTGGAGTCAGCGTCGGTACGTCCCTGCAGGTTCCCTAGGGAACTCCTGAATCGTTCCCGGGGCCTTGTTGTATCATCATGCCGTGCTGTATGCTGTGCCGGCGTTGACGCCGTCAGACCGCAGCCCATCACGGTTCTGTGTTCGGAGAGTTCCCGCGGACCTTTGGCCGGTCCCGCGGCCATGGCCGCCGCCGCCCGCATGCTCAGACATGCGCTGCCTGTGTCCCAGGGCCAGGCTCTGCCAGCCCCAGGGACAGAGGCACCCTGCGCGGGCTCGCGCAGACTCGCGCAACGATACGAGTGCAAGGGCACTTCCTTTTCGGGCATGGTGGAACTCCTTCCTCAGCGCCTGCTGACTCGGGAGGAGTTCAAGACGAACTTGCTGGCAGCACCAGGCGTGCTGAAGGTCTCTGTGCTTCCAAAGATGTTTGCGGCCACTCGGCGTTTGGGTTGGCCATTTGGGATTTCGGGGGTCTTCGGGGGCCTCCTTGGGAGGAGCCATCTTGAGCCATCTCCGGTTTTCTTGAACCACAGTGGAGGCCATATGGGGTTCCCAGGGAATGCTTACGAGGGTGACCCTCAGGTCGTGGACAAGAGCTCCAAGACCTCGCAGGGCAACCGAGGCGACCACGTCTTCGAGCAGAACCTGGAAGTCCACCTGCACCGCGAGCCCCATGTAGCTCTGGAGTTCGAGATCACGCGGAACAACCACATGAAGCACATGGAGGGGCGCCCTTACACTGAGACAGCGATGTTCAAGGACCCCCCCAAACGGCATCACGCGGCGGCGTGGCGCGTGCTCTTGCATGCCGTCAAGGGCCGGGAGCTCCTTCCACAGCATGCCCGCGACTACTGCGAGAGCTGCCTGACGGGACACGGTACCTGGGAAGACGACGTGCTCCCAGAGGGCCTGGAGGGGATCCCGCTTGAGCCAGGCCCTGCCAGTCCTGCGGGGTCTTCCAGCTCTCCGACGCAGGCGCCAGGACTTCCAACAGCGCCAGGCCTTGCCAGCTCTCCGACGCAGGCACCGAGTCGCAAGCCAACGTTCCCGTATCCTTTCCAGAACGCTCCCGCGATGCCCGGGGGCCAGGCGACCGCCTCTGCGGCGCGGGTGGAACCCTGCCCCACCGAGTCGGCCTCAATGAGTCAGGGTGGCCGCGGGGTCCCGCTTGAGCCAGGCTTTGCCAGTTCTGCGGGGGTGGAAGCTTCAATGAATCAGGGCGGCGCGACCGGGCCTCCTGCCAAGAAGAGTAAAGCGGCGCCCGGGGGTGCCGCGATCGCCCCTGCGGCGCAGGTGAGCGGAGGGGCGCGTCAGGCCTCCTGCCCGGAGGGCCTCAACTACTGCGAGGCTGGGGTCACGGAGCTGAGAGCGTTCGAGCGGGACGGGAACGTTGCATCGTTGGTCAAGGCCCAGGACCTTCTGCTCAAGGGGATCGAGCGCATCTCGGACGTCTTGCCTGAGGGGCGCGATTTGGACGGCCCCGAGTACGAGACGCCAGATGCGGAGTTCAACCGCTTCGTGGAGATCGCGGAGGATGCGCGCGTGCGGATGCGGACCAAGTTGGAGGCGGCGAGGAGGCCAGCGGGCGGGGAGCAAGCGGTGGCAGGCGAAGCCCAGGGGTCGGGGCCAGGCTTTGCCAGCCCGGCGACCCAGGGGCAGAAGAACGAGGACAAGGCGGATGCGGAGAAGACGCCGCCAGGGTTCGACCCAGAAGCCGATTGGACAGAGGAATCGGCGGATGTGCACCAGTTCGACATCACGGCTGACCTGCGCGAGGAGCTGGCCGAGAAGCCCGATGGGGACCCGGCCGCCGCCCGTGAGTCCAGGGAGGTCCGCGCTGCACTCGGCGCCGAAGTTCTTCCCATCCCGGATTTTTTGAAGCTTGTGCAGGGTCAGCCGATGGCCAGCAACGCCGCCCTGGACGATGTTCGTGCTATGAAGAGTCGCGGCGTGGAGCACGCGCGGCACCGAGTCATCGATGAGCCCGACGATCCCGAGGCGCAGGACAACATCGACAGGATGCGCCGCGAGGCCTGGGAAAAGCACGAGGAGCGTCGGAGGACACGTGCCCGTGGCCTGGACGCGCGGGACATGTTCTTGGGCCGCGAACTGGTGCACGTCAAGCTGGTCAGTGCCGGCGCGGCGCCCGTGACTCCGAACGAGTTTTTGATTGCGGCGTCTAGGAGGTCTCTCTGCGTCGAGGATCTGTCGCGGCCACCTCCAAACACGCAGGCGCTTGCGCATGCTCGCGCTGCGGGAGCATTACCAGACGTTGTTCAAAGAGCTCCTGGATAAGGCAGCGCAGAAGTTTTCGCCGAACCAGCTGGGGGACGACGACGGACCATCGAAAGCGCTGGTGGGTTTGGTCAATCACCACTCTGGCGAGGTGGTGGAGCTGGACGGGTGCAGAACGCAGCGGCGCCTTCGCAAGGTCGCACCAGGCATTGCCAGTGCCGCGCAATTCGAGAATCCACAATTCTGGCGCGCGCAAGGTGGTTACACCGTGGGACGACGCCCGGAGGTGCGGTGCGAGTACGGCCAGTGCGGGTCCAAGCTCTTCGCCAAAACCGTCGACGCACAGGCCCAGCGCGAAGCCGCCGCCGTGAACGAGGGCGAGGACATCAACCCACAGGTCCACATGCCCGCCTGGGCCCGCCAGTGGAGCAGGGTATGCGTTCCGTGCGAGGCGGTCGAGACGCACGAGTGGTGTCGGCAGAGCCCCGTCACGACGCTGGGGGAGCTCTTCTGGGACTTGGGCCGGACGCACACGGCCAAGGCCATCTACGCCTTCTACAGGGCGCTCCGGCTGGTCGCGTTGAAGAGGGACAAGAACAGTTCCACCAAGGCGAGCAGTGCGCCAGGCTTTGCCAGCGCATCTCGGCCAGCCGGGTCGGCAGCTGCTTTCGGTTTCACGGGGTCCGACCGACCTCCAGGCGCCACGCGCCCGCGCAAATTACTCGTGCCCGGCGACCAACCGCGAGGTGCTCGTGGAGGACTACATAGAGGCGGTGGGCTTGTCCACAGCGCACGTCAGCTCCAAGACCAAGCAAGAGTTGCTGGACGAGGCTGCGAAGTGCGCGACGTTGGCGTTGCTTTGGGACATGCGCCCGCCGTGGCTGGATCACGCGTTCCCCCGGGCCTTGCCAGGGGATGGCTTGTTGTCCAAGTTCACCAGACCGTCTTTCCTCTACTGGGACGCCAGCTTCCTCGACGTGCTTTTCGGCACCGCTCTGGGAAGCGATCTCAACGACCAAGCGGTCAGCGTCGACTACCAACTGGCGGGTGTCATCGCGCGCCCCCTGTATAAGTGCACGCAGATCGTCGACGCCAGCGCCGGAGCAGCGTGAATGAACGTCGCGTCGATGTCAAGGCTTTTGCGGGGCACCGCGGGTCGGGGCCACTACACGCGCAAGGAGTGTGCTGAGAGGAAACAGGGCGCCGATGAGACGCCGGGTTTTCCCAGTGTTGCCCTTCGCGCCCTGTGCCTGTACCCCGCGGTGTTCGGGCCGGATGGCGAGCCCACGCCGCTTCGCGCGATGACGCCCCATCGCGCGTTCGCGCACGCGCCTCCGGAGAATTGGGGGTGGGGCGTCGAGCGAGTCCAGCGCCACGTGGTGACCCAGGCGAACCCCGCGATATCCACGGCCACGCTGACATGGTACACTTACAACGCGGAGGAGAGCGAGGCCATTTTGATCGCATCCAGTGCGTACAAGGCCACGCCGCCGAGCAAGACGTGAATGGAAGGGGGGCGCTGGCTGCGCCAGGCTTTGCCAGCGTTTGCAGGCTCCTGCATCATGAAGGATATAGTTTTTGATTTCGCGTAGGCTGCGCCAGGCTTTGCCAGCGCTTGCCAGGCCGTGCGCAGGCTGCGCGTAGGCTTCGCCAGCGACCCCTGGAGTTGGTCCGTCTACATAAAAAGGAATACGCCGACAGGACGCCGGCGCGGGACTCCGGGAGTGGCCCCGGTTCCGTTTTGAGGTTGGCGCCGGGGTTAGGCGGAGGTTTCCTCGCCCTCGGAGGCCCTGGTCGCCGCCGCGGCTAGAAACGAATCGAAAAACTGGTGCGTCTGGGCCCCTGGAGTTGGGCCGTCTACATAAAAAGAGATACGCCGACAAGACGCCGGCGCGGGCCCCTGGGAGGGGTCCCGGTCCCGTTTTGAGATTGGCGCCGAGGTTAGGTCGAGGTTTCCTGGCCGTCGGAGGCCCTGCTCGCCGCCGCGGCTGGAAGCGAATCGAAAAACTGGTGCGTCTGGGCCCCTGGAGTTGGTCCGTCTACATAAAAAGGGATGCGCCGACAGGACGCCGCCGCCGTCGCTGTCGCAGCAGTTCTCATCAATTGTATTTGCACAATGTGCAACCCGACAAAGGGAGGAAGAGGAGCCTCAGCAGGCCTCCGAGAAAAAAATCTCCACTGGCATCGTCAGGAGAACAATCACCACTGTTGCCGATTGCTCGGCCCCTCCACCCCCCCCAACCTCCTTATCACCCGCAGGGTGGTCGTATAGGTATATTTGGGGAATATTGGGCCGTCCTGGAGCGTCGAAAGCTTCAAAAGGTGAGAACCCCCTGGCAGGGTACGTTGCGCCCCTCCTCACCAGGTGGCGAAACCTCATGGTGATGATGGTGACGATTTTGATCTGATGATGGTCATCGTCGGGGTTCCAATGGTGGTGTCTGCCTTCGCCGCCCCAAGTCCTACATGTTTGCATGCTTGCTTGTTACGAACATGCGTTATGGCATGCTTCCGCGTTTCCCGGGCCAGCGAGTGCGTCAGGGGAGTCAACTGTACTAAATCAGAGAATGGATGTATTCGGTTTGTGTTCGGGATTCGGTTCTCTGTGTCCAAGAAGCGTGGCCCTTGGACACAGGGTGCGACACGAGGTTTCGTGGTTCTTTGGGCACCCTGTGGAACTCGCGGGTGCACTCGGCACCGTGGTCTTGGCGACGCTCTGAGACCTTGTAAAACGCGCGGATGTGTTCGGCGCCTTGGGGGTCGTGACAACCTGGGATCCTACGGGGTGTGCGGATGTGTTCGGCGCCGAGGGTTCCGTTGTTTTTGTTTCCTGTAGTGTTGGGTCCTCGCTTTGAAGAGACACCGCCCCCACGTCACTGCTTCCCGCTGCCCTCATCCCTCTCCTCGCTCCTCCCTCCTTGTCTCTGCTCCCCGTTCGTCACCCATTACGGCGCTCCCCTCGCGCGTTCCGTGGCCCCGTGAAGAGCTCCGCGCGCCACGCCCGCTTCGGCACACACACACACACACACACACACACACGCACACCTCACGCATTTCGTGGCCCTATTGGGAGCTCCACCGACAGCCCCAGAGGCGACGTCCGCCTGTGGGCGTCACGCCAGTTTCGGCACGCCCGTTACACGCTTCGTGGTCCCATAGAAAGCCCCCAATGGCACAGTTCGCATGCGGCACCCCTCATTTCGGCACGCCCCTTACGCGTCTCGCGGCCCCCATAGGGAGTTTCGCTGAAGGCCCCAGTGGCACGGTCCGCATGCCGCCCCCTTCACCCCCCCTTATCTCGGCGGGCCCCTCGCGCGCTTCATGACCCAATGGAAAGCTCCACCGAAGCCACTATTCACAGCTGCGGTACTCACAATTGGAAGCTTCGCCAAAGGGATTTTCTGAGACCGCGCGAAGCCCTGTGAGACGCGTGATTGGGCTCGGCGCCAAGGGTCTCGTGTCACTTTGAGACCGCGCGAGACGCGTGGACGCGCTCGGCGCCGAGGGCTTCGCTGCACTTTGAGGCCGCGCGGGGCGCGCGGATGCGCTCGGCGCCGAGGATTTCGTTGCACTCTGCGGCCGCGTGAGGCTCGCGAATGTGAGCGCGAGGGTTTACCCTCTATGAAGATCTTGAGGCCCGTCCGACGCCACCAATACTAAGTTAAGGGTCGGAGAGTCTCAGAGTGGGTCGAGCACAGAAGGGCCGCCGCCCAGACGCGCGGACCGTCGCAGAGTTTTAGCACACTTGTTGGCCCACGTCGGCTCAGCGTGAGCGCGCAGCGTCCGATGTGACTGCGTGGGGCTGTCTCGGGTATGGTGTGCGCACAAATGCCACCTTACTAAAAATGCACACGTTGACATACTTTAACTTCCAATTTCTATTTCGCAAGCTGTAGGGTAGGACAGCCCCGACGGAAGAGCCTCGCAAGACTAACTACGTGGCAAGCGAGCGGCCGCGACCGCAGGGATCTAATCACAACCTGAAGTGCCAGGTCCCTGACCGTGCCGTCTGACTTAAACATGCCGCGAGGGGCGAGACAGGCGGCGAGCGAACGAACGACCACCGCTATGGACAAGCGTCTGGGCCTGGCTCAGACCAGATGGCCGAGGCCGCGGCCTCTGGAGAGAGAGCGGCGAAGGGAGAACAGGGTGGCGAGACAGGCGGCTCAGACCTGGTGGAGAGAGAGGCGGCGGGGGAGAACGAGAAGGACGAGGAGGAGGACGAGGAGGCAGCGGCAAGCGGCGCCCCCGTCCTCGCCCTGCCGGGGCGGCGGCGCCCGCGGCGCGCTGCGGGACTGCCGGAACGCGGGCCCTGCGGCAGGCTTCGACGACGACGACGACGACGACGACGACGACGACGACGACGACGACGACGACGACGACGACGGCGGCGGCGGCGGCGGCGGCGGCGGCGGAGGCAACGACGAGGACGACGGCGACGACGACGACGACGGCGACGGCGCCTACGACGACGACGACGACGGCGGCGTCGTCGACGGCGACCGCGACGTCGACGGCGACGGCGACGGAGACGGCGACGGCGGCGGGGACGACAATGACGACAGCGACGTCGACGGCGACCGCGACAGCGACGGCGATGGCGACGGCGACGGCGAAGGCGACGGCGACGGCGACGGCGGCGGCGACGGCGGAGGCAACGGCGGCGGCGACGGCGAAGACAACGACGGCGACGGCAAAGACGACGACGGCGACGGCGAAAACGACGGCGGCGGCGACGACGACGACGTTCGAGGATCGAGGCAGCGAGTTGCCTGGGCCTGTCTGGGCTCCCTGGGACTCTGTCGTCAGCACGCCTATCTTCCCGCGGAATTGTGGCCAGAACTCAGCCCGGGACAGGTCCAGGGGTAGAATTTTTGACCCCAGGCCGAGCCAATTGACGACGACAGCGGCGACGAGTTTCGATTAATGATTTGTTCCCCGTTCTCGAACTCTGAAAGCTGGCTTCCCAAAGGCAGTCAGAAATCGACCCAGCATGGGCCTTTGGAAGGGGGCGGGCGCGAACTTGCACGGACATCAGCGACGGCGATGGCGGCGGCAACGACAACGACATCGGTGGCGACGACGACGACGACGACGACGACGACGACGACGACGACGACGACGGCTGCGGCGGCGGCGGCGACGGTGGCGGCGACAAGGCTCGAAAAAACTTCTACTCCATTTCGGCATCTGGAGTCCCGGTTCGGGCCCCACTGGTGCGGCGACAACGACGACAGTGGTGATGGCGGCGGCGACAACAATGACGGCGACGGCGGCGCCCTCCGTCTTCTCCTCCTCCTCCTCCTCCTCCTCCTCCTCCTCTTCCCCCTCCTCTTCTCCCTCTTCCCCCTCCTTCCTGCTCCTTTCTCCTCCTCCCTCCTCCTCGTCCCTCCTCCTCCCTCCACCTCCTCCTCTCCCTCCTCCCTCCTCCTCCCTTGTCCTTATCCTCCCTTCCTGCTCCACCTCCTCCCTCGTCCTCGTCCTCGTCCTCCTCCTCCTCCTCTTCCCCCTCCTCTTCCCCCTCTTCCCCCTCCTTCCTGCTCCTCTCTCCTCCTCCCTCCTCCTCGTCCCTTCTGCTCCCTCCACCTCCTCCTCTCCCTCCTCCCTCCTCCTCCCTTGTCCTTATCCTCCCTTCCTGCTCCACCTCCTCCCTCGTCCTCGTCCTCCACCTCCTCCCTCGTCCTCGTCATCCTCCTCGTCTTCGTCTTCCTCCTCCTGCTGCTCCTTTTCCTCCTCCTCCTTCTCCTCCTCCATCCCTGCCTCCCTCTCTCTCTCACTCACTCCCTCTCTCCTCCTTCTTCTTCGCCTGGCGCGCAAGCATCAATCATGCCCTCGCCCCATTCAAGAAATACAAAGCCGGGACAAAGGTTTCTGCAATTTGCCATGATGATGATATTCCCGATCCCCCCCCAAAATCCTAGCATGACTGAATGACTGCGTCATTCGGCAGAGTAATTTTCGAACCACTTAACGCGTATAACTCTGTTACCCTAAAACCGGATTGGAAACTACTCCGCTCCAAACTCTATGAGTCATCAAGCGGGGTGCGCCTCCGCGCGAAGTAGTTTGAGTATTTCTATTCCGAACTACTCCGCGCTGATGCGCTATTGGCGAAGGCTGATTGCAACAACTCTCCTCAGGTGATGTATCTGCAACCATGAAGGGTCACATCTTCCTCCTCCTCCTCCTCCTTCTCCTCATCCTCCTCCCTCCTCCTTTTCCTCCTCCTCATCCTCCTTTTCCTCCTCCGTCTCCTTCTGTTTCTCCGCGCCATTATTATTGTCAGTCGTCGCCACTACGCGAATCGTCGTCATCGCCATGTTCGTCATCACCATCATCACCACCGCTGCCACCATCACCATTACCAACACCATCACAATAAGCATCACCATCATGATCAGCATCATCATCATCATCATCATCATCATCATCATCATCATCATCATCATCATCATCACCAACCAACATTATCATCGTCATCGCCGCCGTCGTCGATAACCATACTCCTCATCATCCTCATCATCCTCATCATCCTCATCATCATCATCGCCACCACCATCACCATCGTCAACAACAACAATAATATCATCGTCGTCATCATCAACACGAACATCGTCATCATGATCAGCATCACAATCACATCAGTAGTACCGCCATCGTAATCGTCGTCGTCACCACCATCATCATCAGCACCGCCATCATCATCATCAACATCATCATCACCATCGTCATCAACATCATCATCATCATCAACATCACCATCACCATCATAATCAACACCATTTTCATCGTCATCGTCGTCATCGTCAAGATGATGATGATGATGATGATGATGATGATGATGATGATGATGATGATGATGACCATCATTATCAGCGGCTGCATCAGCATCATCATCATCAGCGGCAACATTATCATCAACATGATCACCACCACCATCATCACCGTCGTCGTCGCCATCAACCAGCATCATCACCATCAGCATTACCATTAATATCACCAGCACCCAGCACCTCCATCATCCTCATCATCGTCCTACTCATCGTCATCATCATCATCGTCATCATCATCATCATCATCATCGTCATCATCATCAGCATCATCATCACCCACATCATCAGCAGCAGCATCATCATCACTATCATCATCATCATCATCATCATCATCATCATCATCATCATCATCATCATCATCATCATCATCATCATCATCATCATCGTGGCCATCATGATAATCAACATCACCATCACCATCATCACCATCATCGTCGTCATCATTATCACAGTGTTCATCAGCAGTTGTAGCACCATCATCATCAGCAGCATCAGCGACAACATCACACCACCACCATCATCCTCAGCATCATCACCACCCTCATCCTCATCCTCATCCTCATCCTTCTCCTCATCAGCATCATCCACATCATCGTCCCCTGTGGATAACGGATTCGTCTATCTCTCTGTCTTCAATGGGTGAGGAGGGGGGGAAGCCGCGCAGCTCGTCCTCCTCTTCCTCTGGCAATGCTGGAGTCCCGGCCAGGCGGTAGCCCTCCTCAAGGGTGTACCCTAGGCTGAGTCGACGCACGAAGCGAATCAGGCGAATCGCCTCCGAGCAGGGACTGCGAGGGTGTCCCTCCGGCGCCGCGGAGCCTCCAGACTCGGCCGTGTCGCCGCGTGCACCTGGCGGCACGAATGCCTGGGGTGCGACACCTGGCGACAACTGGCGGCGCGAATGCCGGATTGGCCCTGTCCTGCAAAAACGATGACATTGGGGGCGAGGCTGCCAAATCGGCCCCGGCATCCGCAGAGGTCCTTGCATCCGGCAACGGGTTTGGCTGTACCCTTGCTTTGTCACGTTTGGGATGTCTCGGCACAGTGCACGTGTGGAGTGGAGGCGACTACCCTGCCCGAGGTCCATGCAGCTCGCGCGGGCGCAAGGGTCCAACAGCCGTCACTCTCTCCCTCTGCGGGGCCGTTCCGCGCAAGGGAAAACGATCCATCAACGGCGCCCCCCCCCCGCGAGCCGCATCTCACCGGCCCGGCTTCCCGCGCGGAAGGCCGTCCTTCCGCGGAGCTCGCGGCGACGGCCGTTAAGGCCCCCGCGGGAGCGGCGGCCCCGGGGGGTTGTCGGCGGCGACGACAGGGGCGAGTAGCCCAGGGGCGGGCGCTACACGTATTCGCCCGGGAGCCTTGTGGGAGACATAGATCATCGGCGCACCTGAATACATGTATTGCTCTCCCCTGGGTTATGTGCCCCTATCGTCGCCTCTGAGGGTTGGGGCAGCGGCTCGCTCGCTCTTGCCCGGCGCGGGGCTGCCCTGCGCAGGAGGGGGCGAGCAGACAGCTGCCCCCGTCTGCGAGACTCGCCCCGCCGACCAAATCAACCGCACGGAGGGCTGTCCTTCCGCGATGGTGACGGCCAGCGCGCCCCCTGCTCTGTCGCTACGCCTGACGCAGCTTGAGCCCTCCACATTCCACCAGTTGGCCACTCGCGTTCCGCGCTTCCCTGTCCAGTTAGGCCCATGCCACCTCCAACCTCGTAGTTTTCGTCTGCCCGCCGCTCCCCCCGCCATCCAGGCCCCAATGGCCATGGCTGCTGCTCGCGCGCTGCAGGGCCGTAAATCTCTGCAGAGTGCTCGGCCGAGCTTAAACACGCTCGCCCCGCCGATCAGAATTGACTCTCTCCGCCTCGTCGCCGCGCGCGGGCCGCGACGCCAAAAGACGCGCGCGCGTTTCCACATGTTTTGCCACGCCCCAAGAAACAAGAAACAACTTTCTGCGCAACTCGCATCTTCGATTCCCCGTGAATTCTAGGCACTGCTTCTGATAAGAATCCTCCCGATTTTCTTATTTTCGCGACGCCCTGTGTGTCCCGTTCCCCGTAACGCTCTCCATTTTCCACGTCTTCCCAACCTGCGGCCCCCCCCGCGGAATTGGCAATATGTGTTTCCGAATGCCGTTGAAGACACGCGCTCGCCTGGGCGACGCCGGGCACTGCGGCTGCCCCCGCTCCCCGAGCACAGGCAAGCCGGCCAAGCTAGGGACAGAGATGGATGAGAGTAGGAGGTAAGATATGTGGAGGTTGCGAAGTAAGCCTTGGGGGCCTGCGCCGGGGGGCATGGGCGCACCCCTCCCCGCTCCCGCCGGGCGGGGATTCAGGGTCAAAATGCCTTAAGTGCTGAATTTGAAAACACCCGTGCCACGGATGACATGTGCTGAAGCGCGAGCGAGCACGTCAGGACACAGCATGAGCACAACAAATACAACAACTCAAACGATGCTGGCACTATAACCCTAAGATCACTCTGGGCTCCGGACATACCATGGAAATATGGAATTCTCTGAAAATGAAGGCGGGCGGACCAACAGCACGCACTGCCAATGCAACCGTGGCCCAACAGATTCGGGCAATGAGGAAAAAACCGGTTACGAAGCACGCTGGCGCCCCGATCCCGGCCGGCTACGCCGCGTCTCAAATTTTCGCGAATCGGCAGCCAGCTCAAGATCCACAACGCGAAATCAGCGATAAAAGCAAACAGGCCGCCGACGATGACGAAGGGCACCCAGGCTACATAGTTCATGATATCTGCGCGCGCGGTCGTCATCATTGCTCCACTGCGCAAGTGAGCCGGCGAGCAGACACCAACGTGCGGGAGGCCGCGAGGAGAGGGGGGAGGCAACGGCAGCAGCAGGCAAGCGCGCGCGTTGGGGGCGGGCGGGGGACAGGGGGGGGTCGGGGGGCGTCGGCGGCAGTCGGGGGGTCGTCGTGGGTCGTCGTGGGTCTGGGGTCTGGGCGTCGGGCGGGGCGGGCGGGGCCGTCGGGGGGGGCAGGGGCGGGGGCGGGCGGGCGGCGGAGAGGGGGCTACCCCGGGGCTCTTCAGGCGCGCGACCGTCGCGCCCGCTCGCGGCTGGAGGCGTCGCAACTCTGCGCGCGCAATTTCCCTGCGCGGGGAGATTGAAAATCGCCGGGCAAGCTGGTCGGCCGCGAATGCGGCGTCGTCTCTGGCAGCGTCGGCCGCGTGCTTGGCGAGCGCCGCGCAGGCACGTCGCGCCTCGCGGCCCCAGTCGCCGCCGCGAGCCTCGCATGCCATCTGCGCGCGCGAACGTCAGGCCTGCCTCTGAGCATCTGCGCGCCGTGACCAAGTGCAGCCGCGTCAGCTCCTCGCAGCGGGCCGCCGCTGCGTCGCCGCCGCCCCCCGCGGCCGAAGTCGCGAGCAGGTCCTCGCGGGGGCGCGAGGTCGCGGCGAAGTCCCACGCCGCCGGCGCGCCGCCTCGCCACCGCGGAACGAAGACGTCTGGGGGCGCCCCCATCGCCCCCCAGGTCGTCGCCGCCGGCCCCCCCTGCTGGGGGGCCCGCGCCGGGCGCGCGCGGCGGCGGCAAGCCTGGGCGCTAATGTTCTGCCTTGGCGTCGCCGGCGGCTAGCGCCTCGCGCCGGGCCCGGTTCTGGAGGCAGCGGCGGCGCTTCGCGCGGTCGCCGCGGCCGCTGCAGGCGAGAGCGCGGTCTGCGAACGCGCCCATCGCCTCTCCGCGCGCCGGGAGGAAGGCCTCTCCTCGAGCTGCCGGCGCCGAAAGCGGCTTTGCACCGCCGCCTGCATCTAACCAGGCCGCGCCGGAAGTCGGCGCCAAGGGCCCGGCGCGAGGGCGCGCGCTGGAAGGCGCCGGCGCCTGGGGCCGCCATCGAGATGACGCGGGCCCTCGCGGCTGGCGGAGCGCGGTGCCAGAGCTCGCACTGGACGGCGTCGCCCACCTTCTCGGAAAAGAGCCGCTGGCCCCCTTGCTGGGCGGGGTCGAACTCGATCCGTTCCGCTGGCAAGACTGCATCGTCGAACGCATGCGCGTCGCCGCCGCCAGGCTGCCCCCGCCCCCGCCGTCGGCGTCGTCGCAGGCGACGTAGAGCTGTCGACGGAGTCCGACAGGTTGGCGGCTGCGGCGTGCTTCTCGGAAGAGCGAAGCCCGAGACCGCCTCGGTCGAGTTTCAGCCGCGCTTGCTTCCAAGAGTCCGCCGAAGGGGAAGACCCGCTGAGTTGCTCCGAGCAGGCGCAGACGGTGGAGCCCGCGGCCCGCAGGGCGCCGGCGCGCGCTGCCGGCGGGCGGGGTCGCGCGCGCGGAGTTGCCCGGCTTGCGCCGGGAGGCGCGCTGGCGGAGCAGGCGCCTGGCCACTTGAGCGCCACCCAGGGCCCCGAGAACTTCCAACAAAATAGCGGCCTTGGCCAGGGTGCGTTTCTCAGAGAAGCGGTCGACCCCTACGTGGGGGGCCCGAGATTTCGAAGCCGTCTCCCCGAAGGCGGAAGCCCTACGGAAGCGCGGCCAAGTCCACGCTGCCGTCGACGCCCCGCCCCGCGCTTGCCCGGGGCCGCGCTGAAATCCAAGCCCGCCGCGGCCAAGCGCCAGAGGCGGGCGACCGCGGGCGCGCCCCCCCAGGCAGCCGTCGCCCAGGAAGAAGAAAGCCAAGTCCAGGGAGCTTTCGGCTGGGACGGCCAGTTCGGCGCGCGCCTGTCCCGCGCGGCGCTGCCGGGCGAGCGCGAAGAGCAGCGGGCCGAGTGGCCCCCCTTTTGGGCGCCGCGTTCGGAGCGCAGTTCTTCCCCAAGAAGAGCAGCGCCGGGGCGCCGCAACATCAGTTCACGAAAAGAGCCAGACCACAGAAATCCTCGCGAACAGCTCGCAAGACCGCCCGCCTGTCCAGCGCGTTGAAGGCTTCGACAGATCTAGCATCGCGACGAATTTCTGGCGGTGGCCCTGGTTTGGGCCCCGCCACTGTCGCGCGACGTGGCCCGCGATATCCGCGCCTCCTGGCGCCGCCGCGCCGAGCTGCAGCGGCGCCGGCCGCGCGCGCGCTGCGTCCGAGGCCCCTCCGCAGTGGCACTTGCCAACCAAGCGGCGCGGCGTCTCCCCGACGGCGACTGGCCGCGGACCGCCGTCTTCCTTCGGGGGGGCCGCCGGCGAAGCGCCCGCGAAGAACGTCGCCGCGGCGGACGGGGCCTGACCCGAGGCAATCAGGTTGGTTAGGCTCCGGAGCTGTTCCAGGATTTCGCCCCTGTGGGCAGCCGTCTGCAGGGCGCCCCTGAAGTTCTGGCGTCGCAGACCAGACGGCCCCGCCGCAGATCCGCGGAATCCGCGGGGGAAGACGCGCGCCCCCCGCGCCGCTGAGGCCGCGCCCACTTACAGGGTCGCCGCGGCGCGCGCTGGGGGCGAGCTGGAGAGGCCCACCGCCCGGCGGCCGCGAGGGCGCTCGCGGCGCATCTGCTCGACGACCCCCGGGGCCGCGTCGACGGGCGGCTCGCTCGCGAGAGCCGCGCGGCATTTCGAATGCTGCGCGTCGACCACAGGCGCTCCATGCACTTCTGGGCCCGCCGTTCGGCCGGGGAGTCCTGGGGGGCGCCGCCTTTTCTTCTCGCGGTGCTTTGTTGTCTCGGCCCGCAGCGTCGCGCGCTTGCCCTCCTGCCGCCGTCTGCGAAGTTCCTTCGCCTCGACCTAGGCGGTGCATCTGTTGCCGCGGCCGCCGCGGGCGCAGCGCGCGCGCGGCAGCGCGGCGAGCTGGGCCCGGGCGGCCCCGTTGAAGGCGAGCGTCGCCAACGCCGTCGTCTGGGCCGGGCGCCGCGCCCGCAGCGCCCGCGCGCCCGCGGGCGCGCGCCGCTCTGTCCCCGCGCGCCTGGCGACGACCTCCCGCAAGGAGGGCGGCCCCGGCAGTCGCGGCACGGCCCCGGCGTCATCGGCGGCCGGGGCGGCCCCGGCGGCGGCCGCCCGGGCGGCACTGAGATGAACGGCGGGTTATATCTTAGATATAAGTCGAGGACGCCTGTTAGTAAGTAAGTTATAACTAAGTTATAACTAAGTTATGAATTGGCGCGTTTAACAGTGACTGACAGCGTCTGAGTTATACGTCAACCTCTAATACCTTATTAGAACTCGTTGAATTACTAAAAAATAGCAGACTTAGGAAGTTGAATTATAAGTCGGGTTATAACCAAGTTAGGTGACTTATACTTAACTCAATTAGCCCTGAACTCTTCGACTTAGTAATTGAGTTTTAATCAAGTTATAAGTCGACTTAGCTAAGTCGACCTAACTCGACTTACTAAGTCGACCTAAGTCGAGTTAGCTGAGTCGAACGTTCGAGTTACTAAGTCGACGTAGTTCGACTTACTAAGTCGAACTGTGTCGACTTATAAGTCGACGGTTTCAACTAATGTTCAATCGTTTAACATGATTTTGTAAAATGATTAAGAACGGTTTTTAACATGTTTGCGGCACCTGGCCATCCACAACACCAACAAATATGTTGAGAACTTGTGATCCAGATTTTGCTCTGGTAACAAAAAAGTGTTTGTTCTGGATCCACCGACAACAACATAATTTTGAAATAATGGTGCTCTGGCTTTTTTCTGGTAACATGTACATTAACAGTCAAGACCCTAGAAATCTTATCAACATGCAAGGCGGCTCGGCTCGTAGCTTCTATTTTTAATGTTCAAAAAATATGGACGATGAATGAAATGCCAATATCTACATCGTAAGCGTACGTCGTAATCGTATCTAGCGCGCGTTACGCCCTCCACCTTGCGCCTGGTTGCGGGTGCAGTTGCGGTTGCGGCGGCGCCCTTCAGCACGCGCTCCGCCATCTGGCGGGCGACGGGCAGGGGGGAGGGAGGAGGGGGGGGAGGGGGGGGAGGACGGGGGGGGAGTGGGGGAGGAGGGAGGAGGAGGAGGAGAAAGGAGGAGGCACTATGTGTATATATATTATATATATATATGTTGGGGCATACCGTATAATATGTATGTATTATATGATGCAAAGGGGAAGGGGGGGCGGTGCACGGGGGCGCGAAGATAATCGCCTCTCTCGGGTCGCGGCCTGGGCTGGAGAGCCGCCCTTGTCCAAGGCGGCCCCGCGTCGGGGGGGGGGGGGGGGGGGGGGGGGGGGGGGGAAGGGCTCCTCCTCCTCCTCCTCCTCCTCCTCCCCCTCGCCCTCCTCCTCCTCCTCCTCCTCCCCCTCCTCCTCCCTCCTCGAAGACGACGACTACGGCGACGACGAAGATGGGGAAGAAGAGTGGAGGATGATGCAATGCATGATGAGGAAGAATGAACGACGGAGGAAGAGCAGGGGGCGGCTTCGACAATCGACTTTTTTTTCTCCGACAGTCGATTTGTGTCTTTTTTTCCGACAATCGATTTGTTGTTTATTTTTTTCAGCTACGCGCCCCTGCCGTGATAGTAAGGCACGATGATCTTCACGGTCGATGGTGGAATGCGCATGTATACAACGGGCTTGACAACCGACGTCGGGTCCAAGAACACGTCTGGCGTCGCCGATTCATCCCAGATGGTCCAAGTCCCAGGGTCCACAGCGGTAGCCTCCCGCACGTGGACTGCGATGAAATCGCCCATCGCATAGGACAACACAACTCTACCTAAACGAAGAGTACCGCCAGTGCGGATGAGCACGTAGTCGTCCCTCTTCACGCCACCACACTTCAACGCAGCCGCTGTAGACGTATCCATCTGGATGCCTGCGATATCGAGTTTACGGCGCTTCGACGTCGATATATACTGCTCGTCGAACTGGAACCGCCCCTCGACAACGTCTT